TCGAAAGCGTAGACTATGAAACTGTTGGAAGCTTTTAATGATGCGCATCAGAATCTACGTTTCACATGTGAGCACGAATCCAGAAACCGACTACCGTTCATAGATATCGATATCACCAGAAACGCGGATGGATCATGCAGCAGAGGGGTGTATAGAAAACCAACTTGGACTGGACAGTACATCAGCTTCTATAGTGCGGTACCCATACAGTACAAACGAAACCTAGTCCGCACTCTTGCGTTCCGGGCACATAGAATTTGCACCCCGGACACAATCACCAAGGAATTGCAGAGAATCGGCGACGTGCTAAGAGCGAATGGGTATCCAGATAAATTCATCCTCAAACATTTGAAAGAACGCAAGATAAAACCACCGAGGATGAACGTACCCAAAAAAGAACTAATTGTGCATATTCTTTTCAAAGGCGACAGTGCGGCTGACGCCCTGTCCAAACGCCTGAAAGACGCCGTTGAAAAGACATACTTCGCGGCTCCCCTACGCATAGTATTTTACAACAAGCCTTTATTCGCAAAACCTTTAAAAGACAGGCTGCCCCCGGTGACTCCATCAATGCTTGTTTACTTTTAGTCGTGCTCCTGTGGAGCACGATACGTGGGTCGTACCACGAGGCGCCTATCTCATAGGATTGGCGAACACCTCCCAAAGTGGTTTCACAGAGGCGAAGCGAGGTCCAGTAACAGTTCCATCTTATCTCACTTTCTAGCGTGCAGTCACGCAGGGACGGAAAATGATTTTAGAGTCATCTGTACTGTTCCTGAACGTTTCACGCGCGGATTCCGGATGCATCTTCTGTCTATTGCGGAAACTATCTACATCCGCCACCTCAAGCCAGAATTGTGCGTACAATAACAGTTTGTACGTCCTTTACTTCTACCGTGGCCTACAACTTCGGCTGTGATTTCCCATATACATACTTGCCACTTCCAATGACCTCGTGATTTATTGATTTGTACCCGTGAAATGAAACATTCTGTTCACTACGCAGCCCAAACCGCCACATTTATCACTTTCTCTTCATCATGTAATGTTTGAGTCTGATGAGAATTACCGAATATAATTCTTTACTCAGATTCTGCCTCGTTTGATTCATTCTTATATATCCGAAATGTAGCCTCGGTGCTGTTATTCCCAAGAAGGTGGAAAGTGTCTATACTATGCTGTAATGGCGCATTGGTTCCACAGGCGAACCCAGCAATATACACAAAACATTTTAATGTCAGCATCCACCGGGGTAGACCTACCCGTTTGGACAAACTACTAGCCTTCCCACACTTTCTACTTCCTTGGGATCCAAGCTAACTTTTTACTTGATACATCCTATTTCAGTAATTCAATAGTGTATGATAAATAATGCAATAGCTTTACAAGACACACAGGATGGTGAAGGCAAATAAAATCAAAATCAGTGTTCCAGCGTGGAACATGAATCATTATTGGTCTAGATATTGCTCTTTATTATACCGCTTTGCAGCGTTTCTCACTTAGGTGAGTTTCTAGTTTGTAAATGTCTCGATTTTTAGTGCGTTCGCCGCGAGTGTTAGCATTGCATTCCAGTGGGAACAGATTCTAAGACAGTAAAATAAATTTCGCAATTCCGAACGACTGTTTGGTTAAGGTTTTGATTCGTTCTCCGTGGTGAGTAATTTAATGACAAACGTTTCACCACTTCCCTCAGTGGCATCTTCAGTGCACTGCTCCGTAGAGGAAAATCTCAAGGAAACTGTCGGCGGGACGTAGCGTTTGAAACTAGCCTCCTCGATCTGTGTCCCGTGACCTCTGTTTGTTTGATATTTCGCCGTCCAGTTTCACGCTTTCTTAGCTGTAGATACACGGGATCGAGGTCAATGCGGAGGTTCATTGAATTCTCCGTAGAGAACCATGTCTCGAGGAATTCCGTTCCTTTTCTTGTCCCTCTGTGGGCCAGAATTTCTGTTTTGTCCCTGTTAACTTTGTGTCCTTCCTAATGGAGGTGCGCTGAGATCTGTGACGATACATGATGGTATCGACACGCACGCTTGTGCTCTTGTATTCTTGTGCCTAGTTTTTTCCCCGTTTGACCTACATAGTCTTTGTCACAGTTCTTGCATGGTATCCTGTAGACGACGTTTTGGCGTTCGTGTGCTTCCAGTCTTTCTTTAGGTCTGGATAATATTCTTTTCGAAGTCGCAGTTGGTATGTGAGCTATCGTCAGGTTGTGCGGTTTGAGGAGTCTGGCTGTCTTTTCGGGTACGTTTTTGATGTATGGCAAGGCGATGTGTTTCCTCGTTGTTGGTGCAGATGCGGTAGTTGTGTTCCTATGCTTTAGGTATCTTCGGATGAAACTGCGTGGGTAGTCTTTGCTAATGAAAGACATAGACAGATGTTCTTCTTGCTTTCGTTTTGCCTCCGCAGTATGTCCATGCGATTCTATCCTACGAAACAGGGTCCGTATAAGGCTTATTTTGTGACACTTGGATGATTGCTGTTAAAGTTCAGGATTTGCTCGGTGTGTGTTGCTTTTCTGTAAACGGATGTTTGTAATTCGCCTTCTACTGTTCTGGTAATCAGCACGTCCAAAAAGGGCAGTTGATTTTCCACCTCTTCTTCCATGTTGAAACGAACGCCTTCCATTGCATTGTTAAGTAGGTCTTGTGCGGTCTGTAGCTGGTTGCGTTTGACAATCACGAACGTATCGTCAAAGTATCGCACCCATAATTTCGGACTAATGAGTGGGAGTATATCCTCTTCCAAGCTCTGCATGATAAATAATAATAAGTAAATAATGTGTCAGCTGAACGCCGTAACGGCGCTTCGCTGCCGCGCGACCACCACCAGCGGCGCGCGGGCTGAGTATACCGCGAGGACGACCACCCCTACGCGGATTCGAACCGGCGACCTTATGGTTGCAAAGCAAACATGCAGACCACTCAGCCACCGGCCGATATCGCGACTTTCGCAGTAAGTCCAGATATGAGGGATCCTATTGGAGCTCCTCTAACTTGCTAGTAGAACACTTCGTTGAATTTGAAGTAAGTAGTAAGACACAAGTCGAGGGGCTTGCATATGCTTTCAGTTGTTAGCTTCCCAGTCGTTTGTCCTCCATTGTTCAGACGTTTTTTAATATTTTCTTTCGCTATCTGTAAGTTGATGGAGGTGAAAAGTGCGGTGACGTCAAAGGAAACCATCATTTCTTCATGTTCCAGGTACAAGAATACAAGAGCACAAGCGTGCGTGTCGATACCATCATGTATCGTCACAGATCTCAGCGCACCTCCATTAGGAAGGACACAAAGTTAACTGGGACAAAACAGAAATTCTGGGGCACGGAAGGACAAGAAAAGGAACGGAATTCCTCGAGACATGGTTCTCTACGGAGAATTCAATGAACCTCCGCATTGACCTCGATCCCGTGTATCTACAGGTAAGAAAGCGTGAAACTGGACGGCGAAATATCAAACAAACAGAGGTCACGGGACACAGATCGAGGAGGCTAGTTTCAAACGCTACGTCCCGCCGACAGTTTCCTTGAGATTTTCCTCTACGGAGCAGTGCACTGAAGATGCCACTGAGGGAAGTGGTGAAACGTTTGTCATTAAATTACTCACCACGGAGAACGAATCAAAACGTTAACTACCAACCCGAGCTACAGATATTCCGAAGCATTGCACTTTTTCATTTTTAGATTCTAGTTGTGGCATCGGCACTGTATTCCCACTAAACGAATCGTCGCCAAGTGACTTAATAACTAGGCAACATTGCTAGAAGTTGGTATTCTACCACGATCTGAGTAAGCACAGTAACCGATAAACACACCATAAGTTAGGGGAAGATCAGCATTTCAGACGCCTCAAAACAAATTTGCGAAATCGCTTTGCATAGAAATCTAGTAATTGGGGAACTACTTTGTCATGAAACGCGAAAGGAACCTCGCAGTTATTTTAATAACATCTATAAAGGTGACACCGTAAACTCTCAGCTCACCGACATTTAGCTCGGGCTATAATATGTGAGGTTACTGTGTTATCTGGAGGTTTGAAAACTGGAGTAACTAATGGCTTATTACTGGAGCAGTCACATGTCGGAGCAGAAAACGCCGCCACGTGGCCGCCATTGGTGGCCATGCGAAACCTGCTGCTCTAGCGGTCGCATTTTTGATTTGTAACAAACCAACTCGATTCCAGATCATCGGATGGCATATGTTTTTAGGCTACTGTAGCCGTTCAGAGCCAACGGGTTCCCAGTTATTTAACGATTCCTTCTGGAATGTTCGTTGTAGGTGCAATCCGACATCGCGGCAAATCTCGTCACCACCCGTTATCAAGTATGAGCCAGGATGACTTCGCGTATGTTTCAAAAAAATTATCAGCGATTTGGACCGGTTGCGGTTAAGATATGCATCAAAATGGTAACCGCCGTTTGAAAAACGCTAGCCAAGCATAGCATTGCAAAACTAGAATAATGAATCCACTGACTTGCTTGCATAGTCTACCAGAACTCGTTGATATTCGAACCATCAATTTAGAAAGAAACGAGCAAACCGCATGCTCTTAAAAAGAGGAAGACAATGTTTAGTTTGAAAACAAGTTTTGGTTCACCAGATAAAAGGCACTTACTACTGAGGTAACCGGAGTTACACTTCAGCTGTTATTTCCCTTCGGAAATACGGCACCAGGGTGTTTATTAACATGTGCCAACATTTACGGCAGCACAGGTTTGCTCTTTCGAGTTGACCCCACGACGTCCCAACTTAACCAACAAAGACAATGTTTGCTCGTCGCAACCCACGATACATGGCGGAATGTCCAAAACCCGACAATCGCCTTCTAACTGCTGCGTCAAGCTCTGCTCGTGGAGTTCGATGGTCCAGTATCATGGTGATAGCAGCCAGTCACTATTTGCCGAATACCACACCCAATTCAGGCTATCCTCAGCTGATGGATATAAATGAGGACAGAACGCGTCGTGGAGTGTAGAGATGGGAGAAAGCAATAACGCAATTCTACGGCAATCTTTCTAATTCGACCACCAAAAGCAGCTCCGAAGAAAAGATAAATTCCCAACCAAAGCACTTTATAAATAACCATGAGGAATGAGGTGGAATTTAAAAAAGTGGAATATTAGGTTTGTGCGAATAAGCTGAAGGGGTCGATCGCGTTTGACCGTGAATGTAACATGTTCGACGATATAATTAAGTGCGTAGGTCATATCAAAGGGATAACCACAGGAATAAAACCAGTGCAGACAGACTCCATGTGTGCGTTGAAAAAGGGTGAACTTTCGTTTAGCTCCATAAGAATGCCGTATCCATTAATCCTCATAATCCGAGTCGTCACGTTGTTCACTTCCGACCTCCTCATCATTTTCGTCATCCATTGCCTTGTGGATCTCATCATGTTCCTTGGCATCATGGTTGTGAACCAGCTTCTTTGTATGTACTCTCTCTTTGTGGCCGTTCTCACCTTCATTGCCATGATGCCTAGCGTGATCCTCTTTCGAATGTTTATTGTCCGGTTCAATTTGAGACTCAGCGTCAATATCACTACCAGCCAATGAGTCTTTCTTTTTGTTTTCTTGTGAATAATCTAAAGCTTTTCGATGTGATGTACGCACTTGACTGTCTTCTAGGGGTCCAGAAAATTTATGGGAAACCCCCTCTGCCAGGTCAATTGGGCTGGCTAATAAGTGAGGTTCCTCGTTAGATACTGATACTGACCCTAGAGCTGGTTCATGCGATCCGGAGGACTTGACGGTATCTGATTCCGACCTTGTGTCATCAGCAATTGGTATGTCTGATGGTTCAGAAAATAGCAAATTTGCTGGCAAAGTTGTGCACTTTGTAGATGCGCGTACATGATCATCAACAGCCCCATGAGGTTGCCCCTCGGCTACGTTTGTCTCACGAGCATTGACAGCAATATCGAGCGATGATGCCGACGCACGGTCTAATTGTGAGTTGGTGGGCTGGGCACTTTCTATCGGTGTGAGCGCAGTGGCAGCGTTGGGGAGCACCGGCGCACCAGGCAAGGTTATATCATGGCGAGAAGAGGCGCTGGCTTCTTCTACTGGTATGACAGTGTCATAACCGACAGAGAGATGCGAAGTTTCGGAGTCAAGCAACTTGCTGGGTGACAGTTCACTCACTAGTGTTACGGGATGATTGATTTTACCGGATATTTCAGTTGTCGACAAACCAGTTACACGTGTGTATACATCTGAGACATCGGTTTTGAAAGGTGTAACTTCAGTAGAGACGGCGTGCTCCACATAACCGCCAGTTCTTTGAGAAAATGGTAGGCTACTGTATGAGGTCGGTTTGTTGGTAACCCAGTCAGTGGAAAGCTCGGTGATCTCCAGTCCATTGGAAACTTGCGTTTTTGCTGTGTGATCGGCGGAAATAAGTCCGTCTGTCATCAGCTTCTCCTCAGAGGTTACTGCGGTCACTGCCGTAAGGAGCCGAGCATCAGTTAAGTGTAAATCAGAGTCCCATTCTGTACTCAAACTGGACCATGCAGACTGATCGTTACTTCCAGCTTGTTCCTCCGAACTACCATCCAAGGTTCTCGTCGTTGCCGAGCTGCTCTCTACCGCTTCTGCGTTGGACAGTTGGTTTGTCTCTGGGAATGGAATAAATATAGCAAAAAGTGTACTAATGAAATGGTCGTACTAGCAGTAGAAAAAAAGAACTGAATTGATAAACCAATCTATATTCCACCGTGACAATGCCATCGTGCGCAACTGTATGACACACTTATAAAGCATCTAGATAATTCGAGCCGCTTAGATGAAAAATTGGTACTTTCGACGGCATATAGAAACTTTGGCGAACTTTACTAACAATCAATCTCGATACCCGTATCACCCAACCTGAGTCCATAGTCTTAATCATGTTGATGGATAAAAAACAACTGCACTGTCTTTTAATGTCTTGCAATGCGCGTCAACAGAGCAATCTACACGGGTACGTTTTGAACTATTTTACATGATGAGCTTTTTGGTATTGAGTAAAATCCTATAGCTATCTATTTATCACATTGTAGTCCATGGCCAAATAGAAGTAAAATGTTGCACTCAGGTTTAAAATATCTCCAAACACGCATCGTTAAGTAACATCTAGTGCATGTCGTAGCATAACTGTTTGCAAGTTGCATACGGTAGATACATATTGGGTTTACCAAATAACGTCCACATTCGATTAGGCTAGAGCCCATAACATATCTTAGGGGCCTGGCGTTAGTACGTGAGAGAAGGAATAAAATTCAACTCAGCGCAAGACGCATAGTTTCGCAAACTGCTTTTGATATACATTTCCGAGTAAATCAGGTGATAAAGTATTAATGTGAAGAGTAGCGCACACCGCTACTTAGTTGGACGTACTCTGATGCCTAGTTGGTGCTTGCTTACTTGTTCGCCTTTTGATACTTACGTGCGCGATCAGAACGCTGACTTAAATACGTGATGATAATAAAATCTCGTTACGCCAAGCGTTCCTAGTAGCCGTCACTGGTCCAATGAACAGGGAATCGGCCGTAAATGAATATGTACCGGATTTCACTCCTATGTGTACGCGGTAGGCCCAAGCCACAAGGATGAAATTGGTAGTTAGGAGTTTTGCTTGGGGGAGTAACGCCAAAAATTATTCGCAAGTAGATTAGTGCTCCGGGTGAGTTCATCTTTTTCCTCGTTAGTTAAATATTTAACTGCAGTGATGAATTATATGTGCGCTAGTTGCAATAGATATATATATATATATATATATATATATGTATTTGCCGAAGTGCGGAAAAAAGACCTCATACATGCAGAGAACAAGCGGCAATTGCGGAAGCGACAAGCACCGATGGGTTGTACTCCATCGACATCGAGCGCATGGTGCTGTAGCACATGCGGTCGCGTGTGTCTGAGTCAGGCAGGCTTAGTGAGCCATGAACGAGGCCATTCGGGACCACTACCGAAGCGACGACGGGTCCTGCGGAGAACGTAGGCAGAACCGGCGCAGCGTTTGTAGGTACGCTGCATTCGATTTACTAACAGCGTGCTTGCATGCTAAGTCTCTTTATTTCAGGTGGTGGGTTTTCAATTTTGTCCTAATGCTTTTCTTTCCCATATAAATGCCTACTTATACCCTCTTCTATACACTTGCACATGTCGCTTAGGCCAACTGTAGTTAGTTTCGATACATTTCCGTGTTTTTTCATTTCCGTATAATGAACTTCCTGACCTCGTGAACTAACCTCTTATTCCTTGGTTAACAACTCATTTCATATGCTCACTAATTTAAGATTTATGTCACGTTTCCTTATGCATTACTCGATTAATTTTCTGTTATCTTTCTCTCAAGTGATTGGCTGTTGCTTGATATCCCCGGTGTGGCTGCGCTTGATGTGCATGTTGACAAGGTGCCTATCTGTCTATTACCCACCACCTCGTCTATACTGGCTCCAAGAGACTGTTGGTCGTTGCTGAAGGGCACAGGGTGCATGGTCCTTGTGGCCGTGTTAGGATCAGAGTGGTTCCATGGAGTGTGGAGCGATCTACGATCCAACCACCTCCTTGTGTGCGCTTGATTCCCAAATACAGCGTGCTTGTGTTTGCCACTGAATGAGTGTGGGCCGGCTCCGTTGATGAAACGTGGCTCCCATCCACGTACCTCCCGGTCTTATTCCTTCGGTTTTACACTGGATATGGGTATGTGGTTGGAGCTGTGGGTGGTGCAGCGCAAGCCATCCATGGTCCCTCTGTAGGCGCAGGCGTCCTGTGTCTGGCCACAACCATATATATGGTTGGCGGCATCCGGTTTCGGATTTGTCTGTCACTGTGGCCAGCCACACAACGCCTGCGCCTACAGAGGGACCATGGATGGCTTGCGCTGCACCACCCACAGCTCCAACCACACACCTCATATCCAGTGTAAACCCGAAGGAATAAGACCGGGAGGCATGTGGATGGGAGCCACGATGCATCAACGGAGCCGGCCCACACTCATTCAGTGGCAAACACAAGCACGCTGTATTTGGGGAATCAAGCGCACACAAGGCGGTGGCTGGACCGTAGTCCGCTCCACACTGAGGGCATGGAACCACTCTTCGAGCCTAGCACGCCCACAAGGACCGTGCACCTCGTCCCCTCCAGCAACGACCAACTGTCTCCTGGAGTCAGTATGGACGAGATAGTGGGTAATAGACAGGTAGGCACCTTGTCAACATGCACATCAAGCGCAGCCACAACGGGGATATCAATCAACAGCCAATCACTTGAGAGAGAAAGGGAGAGAGAAAAAGAGAAGCGAAAAAATCGATTAATGCATAAGGAAACGGTGACATAAACCTTAATTAAATAGCATATGTAATAAGTTGTTTACAAACAAATCCTAGCTAAGTGCACGAGGTTAGAAAGTATAGTTCACGGAATGCCACGAACACAAAAATGTTATAGAAATCGAATACAATTGGCTGAAGCGATGTGTGCAAGTTAATGGAATAGAGTACAGGGAGATATTTATATGAGAAAGAAATGCATTAAGGTAAAAACTGTAAACCCACCACCTGAAATAAAGAGACTTAGCATGCAAGCACGCGGTTAGTAAATCGAACTCAGCGTGCCTACAAACGCTGCGCCGGCTCGCCGTAATTCTCTGCAGGACCCGTCGTCGCTTCTGTAGTGGCCCCAAATGGCACAGCGCATGGCCCACTAGACATTTATATGAGAAAGAAAGGCATTAGGACAGAACCGAATCCCACCACCTGAAATAAAGAGACTCAGCATGCAAGCACGCGGTTAGTAAATCGAATTCAGCGTACCTACAAACGCTGCGCCGGTGATGCCTACGTTCACTGCGGGACCCGTCGTCGCTTCGGCAGTGGTCCCGAGTGACCTCTCTCATGGCTCACTAGGCCTGCCTGACTAAGGCACTCGCGACCGCATGTTCTACAGCATCATGCGCTCGATGTCGATGGAGTACAATTCATTGGTGCTTGTCGCTTCCGCACTTGCCGCTTCTTCTCTGCATGCATGAGGGCTTTCTCCCGCACTTTAGCAACTGCCTTCGTGATTAGATCGCGCCATGCAAGCCGATCAACCGCCTTCGATTCCCATGATCTGAAATCAAGATTGGAACGTGTGAGGCTCACTTTAATCATGTCCTGGTAACGTAACTTTGGTTTCCCAGCATGCCGCTTCCCTATACTCAGCTGACCGTATAAAAGTTGTTTCGGTATCCACGTGGAATCCATACGGCTCACATGACCAAGCCATCTCAGGTGTCTCAGTAAAAGTATGCCATCCACTGCATACATCCACTTCGGCGCAACACTTCCGTGTTTGCAACTCTGGCGCCCCAACCGATGCGCAAAATTCGTCGCAGACACTGCTGATGAAACCGCTCGAGATATCGCACATCCCGACGGTACATCGTCCACGTTTCACTGCCGTATAGAAGAACGGACAGCACCATGGATTTGTACACCATCAGCTTCGTGCCAATGCTAAGCTGATGGTTGTTCCACACTCGGTACTCAAGCTTCCCGAATGCCGCTGCTGCCTTCGACACGCGAATACGCAACTCAACGTGTAGCTGCTGATCAGTCGATATCACACTCCCAAGGTAGCTGAAACGGGAGGTGGTTTCCAATACTTCAGCACCAATGCTGATTCGCGGCAATATTGAAGATTGCACCTCCGGTGAAGGCTGCAATAGACAGACAGTTTTGCTTGTGTTGATGGTGAGCCCAAATTTTGCCGCTGTCGAAGCCAGAGCACTAGTCATGTGCTGCAACTCATCCGCGCTGTGTGAAAACAACGCACAGTCGTCAGCAAACAGCAACATACGGATAGTTGTCTCACAGACTAGAGTTCTCGCACAGAAACGACGGATGTTCAGCAACCCCCAACATACGGTGCTCCACACGAACACCGTAAGCACAAGCCGCATCAAAAGCACAAGACAACATTGCATGAAGATAGATATTAAACAGGGCAGGAGCTAAGACACAGTCTTGCTTCACACCAGAGACAACTGCAAAGTCATCCGAGGTCTCTTCACTCAGCTGCATCCTCGCTCGCATACCACTGTGCAGACACCCAATTAAACTTACAAACTTACGCGGGCAACCAAACTTACCCAACACCAACCACAATGCCTCGCGGTTCACCGTATCAAATGCCTTGGTGAAATCAACAAAAAGCGAGTACAATGGCTGGTGTCGTTCTCTGCACTTCTCTTGTAACTGACGAGCCGCAAACACCATATCTATAGTGCTGCGACCCGAACGGAATCCACACTGCTCCTCCGCCATATATATATATATATATATATATATATACTCGAATACGCGTGGCACGCCTGCACTGTCATGATTATAGTAAGAGTACAAAATATGATCAGTAAAGGTGCAATGAAACAATAGGATAGTCACATATGTTGATATATGATTGTATGCACGCTTTCATAGAGGCGTGTCTAGCCGTGTTAATGGGTTTTGTAAATGCTTTCCGGCATTTTTGATCGTGTTACCAGTGCTAAAGGGATGCTTGATGTTTGTGTACTTGGAGTGGCTGTCCGGGTAAGCAAGGGTGTGACGTTAATTGGTGACGAGTCACAACCGCCACGTCACAGGGA